CTTCATGGGGGCCCCGTGGCGTGGGGCCCCAGGCAACTGCCCTGTTTGCTACCCCTTAACGCCAGCCCTGGGTTTTAGATGCAGAAAACCAGATGTGGCACAGGGGGGCCGTGGAGTTTTGATAGCATGTTGGGGGGGGTTAGAAAGAAAAAGGTTGAGAACCTCTGACCTAGGCCATGTCAGCACAGGCCCCAGGCTGGGCGGGGCAGCAGGAGCCCTGGGCTTGTGATTGCGAGTGCAGAACTGCTGGGGCCCTGAGCAGCAGCTCAGGGGCCAGGCCTGCCCCCCGAGAACCCCACGCTCCCATGCTGGGGGAGCTGCGGCAAACCCCATCGGCCAGGGTGACCCCGGCTGGGGCTGGCATCCCGGCGATGCCCGAGAGCAGGGAGAGCGCTGTGCTAGCTGCCCAGGGGCAGAGAGGGGGCGCAGTGACAGACCAGCTGAGAGCGATGGCCGGAGAAGGTCCTATACAGGAAGGGCCCAGTGCCTGGGGTCAGCCCTGGCATGCAGCCTGCTCTGGGGCAGAGGGAAACAAACTGCGCCCCAAGCCCAACTCATGCAAAGCCCCATGGGAGATCCAGCAGCCACCCAGCACAGAGGGGCAGACGAAGGGCTGGGAATCTGGGGCTGGAGGGAGCTGGCGAAGGCCAGGCTGCAACATATGGGCGCATGGTTCTACCTCAGGTCCAAGGCTCACTGGGTCACTCCATGCTGGGCATTCCCAGACTCCACTGATGCCAGGAGCGTACGGGGCCTCGCGCCAGCGGCCTGCCACCTGTGCCGGGGCCAGCAGGGTGTGGAGGGCACAGCCCACGTCCGCCTGCGACGCTGGGGCCGGCTGACCAGCCCGCGGCTGGAGCGTGAGCGGCTGTTGCTGGGTGGGGTTAGCGGCGGGTACAGACAGGCCTGGGCTGTCCCAGCTCATGGCCACCCCATGAACCAGCCTCTGTCCAAATGCATTGCCCCATCCAGAAGTTATCCTCAGCCCAGCTCTGCAGAGCCAGCCCCAGTGGGGGAACTCGGTGGGGCCCTCGCGAGGCAGCCGGGGTCCTGTGCCAAGCTGGGAGGAAAGGACTCAGCCGTTCGGAGTCAGCCCCTGGGCATGTCCCTGTGAACGGCTGGCCCAGGAGCTGCCAGTGCAATCCAGACAGTAACCGGGATGAGAGAGAAGGGGGGGCGCAGGCACGCGGCACGAACCCCTGCAGCCTGGCCACTGGCCCCTCCCCAGCCCGAGTGCCGGGGTCCTCGCTTACCTTGGGGGCCCACCAGGTGATGCCCATGTGCAGGGCGTAGTCACAGCAGACCTTGGGGTCGGCCAGGCTCCGGCACTTCTCGTAGGCGTCCAGGAGGGAGGTCTCCCTGTCGGGCAGCACGTGGCCGATGACCATGGTTGTCCCTCCGACCAGAGCAGCCTGTGGGGGACAGGAGAGGGGCTTCTGAGTCACGCTGGTCAGGGCAGCAGGGCGTTGACATTGGGCCGAGCAATGGGCATCGTCCTGCCCTCGGCGAACCCAGCTGGGCCCCCAGGTCGCAGCTCGCGGCTCTGTGGGGCTTGTTTGATCACCTGCTCGCCCTGATCCGGGCACTGCTCTGGGGAGAGGCGGCGGGGAGGTGCTCAGACACCCAGGGGATGGGCATGGAGTCAAGGGCCGGATGGGAGGGAAGGAAAAACGAGTTTTTTCAAGGCCCTACAGCAAGTGGCTCTGGATTGCTCTGTCTTGTCCTACGAATCCAGGCACGTCTGTGGCCCCCAGCGCTGCAGTACCTGAGCATCGCCCAGTCTGCAACGTCTCTCTCCTCACAGCCTGTGCGGCAGGGCAGGGCCTGGACAGATGGGGATTGAATCCTGCTCTCCCGAGTCACAGGCTAGTGGGGTGGGTCTGTCTCTGCAACGCAGCAGGGGGTACTGGCGAGTCAGCCCAGCGAGGGGCCAGCCTGCTACACCCGGTTCGGCCAGGCCAGGGCCAAGCAAGCCGGAGCAGGCCACGGGCACTGGCTGAAGCCCAGGCAGGGTGGGGAACGCTGGCTCCCCCCCATGAGCACGGCCAGGCCGGAAGGAGTCATCTGGCTGGCTCCCTGCACAGCCAGAGGCACGGGCTGCAAAGATGGCCCCAGAGCAGCTGGACTCCCTGTCAAACACACAGCTGAGGGGAGCATAAAATCCCTCCTTTACCCAAAAGGGGTTAAGAAGCTCAAATAACCTGTTTGGCACCTGACCAAAAGACCCAATAAGGGAAGAAGATCCTTTGGGGTGGGGGGGGGGGGGGGGGGGGGGGAGAGGTTTTGTCTGTGCTCTCTTTGTTGTTCTCTCCGGGTCAGAGAGGGACCAGGGCAGGAGAAACCATCTCCTAAAACCCTACTTGAAATCAGCATCCAAGATTACAAAAATAGTAAGTAATAGCAAGGAAATGCGTTAGGTTATCTTTTGTTTTAGCTTGGGAATTGTCCCTGTGCTAAGAGGGAGGTTTATTCCTGTTTTTGTAACTGTGAAGTTTTGCCTAGAGGGGAATCCTGTGTTTTAAATCTTATTACCCTGTAAAATTACCTTCCGTCCTGATTTTACAGAGGTGCTGCTTTTACTGTTTTCTTTATAATAAAATTCTGCTTTTATTAACCTGATTGGTTTCTAGTGTCCTAAAAACCCAGGGGTCTGGTCTGTGCTCACCTTGTTTACCTATCTGGTTGGTAGATTATTCTCAAGCCTCCCCAGGAAAAGGGATGAAGGGGCTTGGGGCGATATTTTGGGGAAACAGGAACTCCAAGTGGTCCTTTTCCAGAATCTTTGTCTAACTCACTTGGTGGTGGCAGTGATACCATCCAAGGACAAGGAAGAATTTGTGCCTTGGGGAAGTTTTTAACCTAAACTGGTAGAAATAAGCTTAGGGGGTCTTTCATGTGGGTCCCCACATCTGTACCCCAGAGTTCAGAGCGGGGAGGGAACCCTGACGCTGCCCCTGGGAGGTTCCTACGCACCCCAGAGTCCAGTCCCCAGCGTGAGGCACGGCTAGACGAGGGGGCGGGGAGCAGCCATAGCTCAGTGGTCCCCGTCCCTGACCACAGCTGCCCAGCACAGACCCTGGCAGTGCTAAGCCTGTCCATCCTCCCCATTGAAGGAAAAGGCCCAGGTAGGGACCATCGAATTCTGGAGGTGAATGCGTGGTAATGCAGGTGGTGTTGGAGAGAGTGCTTTGGATTCTTCGACCATGGGATGCTGTTCCAGGAAGAAGGATTGCTAGGAAGAGATGGGATCCACCTAATGAAGAGAGGGAAGAGCATCTTCATAGGCAGGCTGGCTAACCTAGTGAGGAGGGCTTTAAACTAAGTTCACCGGCGGATGGTGACCTAAGCCCAGAGGTAAGTGGGATACCGGGAGGAAACACAAGGAGGAGGGTGCAACAGGGGAGGCCTCCTGATTCCTACTGAGAAAGTAGGGCAATCGGCTATCTTAGGTGCCTGTACACGAACGCAAGAAGCCTGGGAAACAAACAGGGAGAACTGGAAGTCCTGGCACAGTCAAGGGACTATGATGTGATTGGAATAACAGAGAATTGGTGGGGTAACTCACATGACTGGAGCCCTGTCCTGGATGGGTATAAATGGTTCAGGAAGGACAGGCGGGGGAGAAAAGGTGGAGGACTTGCACTGTACGTAAGGGAGCAGTATGATTATTCAGAACTCCAGTATGAAACTGCAGAAAACAGTATTTGGTCCTGCCATGCGGGCAGGGGACTGGACTCGATGACCTCTCGAGGTCCCTTCCAGTCCTAGAATCTATGAAAAGGCTGTTGAGAGTCTTTGGGTTAAGTTTAGAGGTGAGAGCAACAAGAATGATGTTGTGGTGGGCATCTACTATAGACCACCAGTCCAGGAGGATGAGGTAGACGTGGCTTTCTTCAGACAACTAAACAGAAGTGTCCAGATTGCAGGCCCTGGTTCTCATGGGGGACTTCAATCACCCTGAGATCTGCCGGGAGAGCAATACAGCAGTGCACAGACAATCCAGGAAGTTTTTGGAGAGTGTTGGGGACAACTTCCTGGTGCAGGTGCTGGAAGAACCAACTAGGGGCCGTGCTCCTCTTGACCTGCTGCTCACAAACAGGGAAGAATTGGTAGGGGAAGTAGAAGTGGGTGGTAACCCAGGCAGTGACCATGAGACAGTTGAACTGAGGATCCTGACAAAAGGAAGAAAGGAGAGCAGCAGAATACGGACTTCAGAAAAGCAGACTGACTCCCTCAGGGAACTGATGGGCAGGATCCCCTGGAGGCTAATATGAGTGGGAAAGGAGGCCAGGAGAGCTGGCTGTATTTTAAAGAATCCTTATTGACGGCGCAGGAACAAACCATCCCGATGTGCGGAAAGAATAGCAAATATGGCAGGTGACCAACTTGGCTTAACAGTGAAACCTTCGGTGAGTTTAAACACAAAAAGGAAGCTTACAAGAAGTGGAAATTTGGACAGATGACTAGGGAGGAGTATCAAAATATTGCTCAGGCATGCAGGGGTGTAATCAGGAAGGCCAAAGCACAACTGGAGTTGCAGCTAGCAAGAGATGTGAAGGGTAACAAGAAGGGTTTCTACAGGTATGTTAGCAACAAGAAGGTGGTCAGGGGAAGTGTGGGCCCCTTATTGAATGGGGGAGGCAACCTAGTGACAGATGATGTGGAAAAAGCTGAAGTACTCAATGCTTTTTTTGCCTCGGTCTTCACAGACAAGGTCAGTTCCCAGACGGCTGCACTGGCCAGCACAGTATGGGGAGGAGGTGAGCAGCCTTCAGTGGTGAAAGAACAGGTTAGGGACTATTTAGAAAAACTGGACATGCACAAGTCCATGGGGCCGGATCTAATGCATCCAAGGGTGCTGAGGGAGTTGGCTGATGTCACTGCAGAGCCATTGGCCATGATCTTTAAAACTCGTGGTGATCGGGGAAGGTCCCGGACGATTGGAAAAAGGCTAATGTAGTGCCCAGCTTTAAAAAAGGGAAGGAGGAGGATCCGGGGAACTACAGGCCAGTCAGCCTCACCTCAGTCCCTGGAAAAATCATGGAGCAGGTCCTCAAGGAATCCATTTTGAAGCACTTGGAGGAGAGGAAGGTGATCAGGAACAGTCAACATGGATTCACCAAGGGGAAGTCATGCCTAACCAACCTGATTGCCTTCTATGAGGAGATAACTGGCTTTGTGAATATGGGGAAAGCAGTGGACATGATGTATCTTGATTTTTGCAAAGCGTTTGATACGGTCTCCCACAGTATTCTTGCCAGCAAGTTAAAAAAGTATGGATTGAATGAATGGACTATAAGGTGGATAGAAAGCTGGCTAGATCGTCAGGCTCAACGGGTAGTTATCAACAGCTCAATGTCTAGTTGGCAGTTGGTATCAAGCAGAGTGCCCCAGGGGTCGGTCCTGGGGCTGGTTTTGTTCAATATCTTCATTACTGATCTGGATAATGGGATTAATTGCACCCTCAGCAAGTTGGCAGATGACAGTAAGGTGGGGGGAGAGGTAGATACACTGGAGGGTAGGGATAGGGTCCAGAATGACCTAGACAAATTGGGGGATCGGGCCAAAAGAAATCTGATGAGGTTCAACAAGGACAAACGCAGAGTCCTGCACTTAAGACGGAAGAATCGCATGCACTGCTACAGACTAGGGACCGACTGGCTAAGCAGCAGTTCTGCAGAAAAGGACCTGGGGATTACAGTGGACGAGAAGCTGGATATGAGGGGGGTTCCAAAGAGGATGGAGCTCGGCTGTTCTCAGTGGTGGCAGATGACAGAACAAGGAGCAATGGTCTCAAGTTGCAGTGGGGGAGGTTTAGGTTGGATACTAGGAAACACTTTTTCACTAGGAGGGTGGTGAAGCACTGGAATGGGTTACCTAGGGAGGTGGTGGAATCTCCTTCCTTAGAGGTTTTGAAGGTCAGGCTTGACAAAGCCCTGGCTGGGATGATTTAGTTGGGGTTGGTCCTGCTTTGAGCAGGGGGTTGGACTAGATACCTCCTGAGGTCCCTTCCAACCCTGATATTCTATGATTCTCTGACAAACCCGCTCCCAGGTGCTAAGAGGCCTGGTGGGCCACGGAGTAAGCCTTCCACAGGACCTGGGAGCCGCCAGGCCTGTCGGCCACATGCGCCCAGCCGGCAGGAGCCCCCGCACACGGCACAAGCAGTTTGTGCTCCAGCAGCACCAGGGAAGCCACGGGGAGGGGAGGGAGCGAACCCCCAGACAGCTCCCCATCGCCCTTCACAGGCAGCGCCAGGCCTAAGTCCTGAGCAGAACACCCTGAATGTGTGCGCACATGCACATACACACACACTCACTCATCTCAGCACACCTAATGCACAGGCACCAAGCCCCCCACCTCCCTGGGTATCCAACACCAGCCCCACCCCGGGTAGTCCGCAGAC